GCATCTGGAGGCTTGTATGCTACCACATTGACAAGGTTTTGGTTTTCAATCTTTACTGCAAAACTTCAGCTACATCATTTGAGGTGTTTAGTAGTACTGTGCAAATAACCGACTCTGTGACATACAGGCCAACCCCCTCCCCTCCCTTGTTGCCTGTTTAGTCTGTCACATCGGAATAGGTTATAACCTGGGATCCATATTTCATTGTTATAATGATCCTTTATGTGGGTCTCTGTGAATGCTGCAAACATTGCATTTGACTCCGCGAGCAGTCCCTTGATGTAAGGAATTTTGTTGTTCTTTGACCGCTTTAGACCCTGTACGTTTGCAAAGACAAATGTTGTTGTATTGGTGGAATTTAGGGGGGTTTTATTTGCTGGCTCTAATATCTGTTGTTCTGGAGTAGAGGCCAATGTCTGTGCCTCTGCTCCAGAAGTGTTTTCAGGTGATGTAGGATTATTGTCATTTCTTGCAAGTCTTTTTTCCCTCCTGGCCCTAAAAAACCTCTGTCCCTGGAGAGGTTGTGGCTCCTCTCTTTTGTTTCCCATAGTCTGGCTGGTCTGTGTCTTCTAGTCCCCTTTAGATGTGCCTGGCAGTATACATTGTAGCATTTTCTTTCATGGATTGATGAGTGATACATTTCTGGGTGGAATAACTTACAGGAGGGCAATTCTGCTAATAATCCGGTCTTCCACGCCAAATTGGAGGGATTTCGGCCTGAATTTGTAATTAGGAACCAGTGTTAATGTCCCCTGCTGAAGAATTGTGTGTGGATGGCAGAAGATAAGGGATATGAATATAACTCACAGGGAAGTGTGCCATTAGTCCTTGCATTTAGATCTCTAGCTGGCCAGTGTAGGGTCTAGGTATTAGGCTGGTGTTGTGGTGTGATCCATCTACAGTAATTAAATGGTAAGTGGTAATATGAATTTCTTTTGTGTACCCAGCAAGCCTAATGATGTTCAGTTCACAACTTTAATTTACCAGAGTAGCTGGTTTTAATATTGTAATTATTAATTTTGTCAGGTCTAACTTTTTGTGAGAGTGGTAGGGAGTGAGTTTCGAGGGAGTGACAGTTTGGTGACCTGCTGTGACTAAGTCCTACTTATCTCACCCAAATTACTTGCCTGCAATGATTCAGGTAATACCCTGTAATTCTGATGCAGGTACTTTACTCACATGATAATAATTCACAACAACTTGTACAGTATATGCAATTGAAAGTGTTCAAAGAGGAGTGAGTGGGATTTACAAACAGGCATCTTGGAATTCACAAGTTATAAATAAAATAAAAGCAAAAGTTTGGATGAAAGGGAAAAAACATGCAACCATTTAAAAGGTCCTCCTTCAGGGATACCTTAAAATGGTGTCTCCAACTCATGAAATGTACTGTAGAAAAAAAAAAAAAAGAACTCTATGGGAAATCCAACACTCATTTTATCTGACTTGTATTTTCATTGTCTGACTATTTCTCCTGTGTATGGGAAAAGTTATCTTAAAAGATGGCAGTTATCAAGTGACAGTAACTCCAACACTGCTGGAACGAAACTTTTAAAGCTGCTGTTGCTGACGAACCCATACTGGTGTGCTGAACGATATCTTCATGCCTTGCTGAAGTCTCCCATCTCAGGCTGACAGATTTCATCACCTTGTATGAGCCCCATCTCATGTGATGAAATATGACATGCAAACTTTCTTAGCTTTTGTTCCCCACTGTTCAATTCAATTCAATTCAAAGTTTATTCTCTATAAGGATTACAATGCTGAGTTTACAGAAATTTGGTTATTGTGTGGTTTACATGTAGTAAAATAGTGATTCATATAGCACAGTAGCAACACACTGCTGATGTATCCATTTTTTAATACAAAAAATAGATTTAGTTCCAGCCTCTGGACCTCGGGCAGCATTTAGCTACTGTGTTATTGCTAAACCCATAGGGGTCATTTAGCATCTAAGGAATGGAAAGTAATTAGGTTTGATCTAAGGAATGGAAGTACTGTACATCTCCTTGGGTTATAAGCCCTTTGGTATAAGGCATCTGATAGAGGAGCTCAAATGGTTTCTGTGATATTGCAATGAGACTAGCTTGCTAAATGCAGATGATTTCAGAAACTTTATGGCTCAATTTACTGTTTCATATATTGCTTACAGAATCACAACCAAAAATGCATAGACCTAATACTCCAGTTTTGAGCGAGTATTGTAAGTTTTTGGAAATGTTCATTCTGTTCATGGGAATGGAAATTAGTCAGGTTTATTCCGAGGGAGGGGAGGACAGCTTCAATTGCATCAATCAAGAGGTTTTCACCAGCATCACTCAAGAATCCTTTTATAAGGCTAGAAATAATTAGCAAACCTAGGTGGGGTAGTACAAGAATTGAATGGTAGGATGTTGAAGACAGGTGTGGGATTAAAAGAATATGAATTTGATACAAAATTAGAGTTGTCACAGCTGTTCTTTGCCGATGACAGTTGTTTTGAGAGATTCTGAAAATCTGCAGAGGTTGGTGGGCGACTTTGGAAGGGTATGTGAAGTAAATTAAAAGAACAGAAAAAAGAGCAAAGATGAAGTGAATTATAAAATAGATGAGGGGAGAAAAGGTAGGATTATTGAGGAATCTGTTAAAAGAAATATACCTACGGAGGCAAAAGAGGGGAATGTATCATAGTGGTACCAATACATGTATGAATGAGAGGTTTTGAGTGTTGCAGTGAGGAAGTGGAGATGTCATGTTTGAGAGCATTATTATTACACTCAAAACTAAGTGCTAAACCCACAAGTCTTACAGCACTGGTTTGAAAGCACTGTGTGGTGTGAATGTTATGTAAAAATTAGAAGACAGTGTGGAGTCACCAAGAGTATAATTTAGAGGGGGTTGGTGGTTAGGGAGCTGTATGACCCTGGTGGGTTTAGTACTTAAGTTTTGATTATAATAATAAAAATGGTGGCTAGGACATTTAGAGAGAATTAAGAGGGATAGGATGACAAAGTGGGTGTACAAATCTGAGGTGAAAGGGAAGAAGGGGAGGGGCCATCACAGAAATGGTTGGAGGGAAGACTTTGTTTTAGATGCTTGAGAATCCAGTAAGCTTGTGTGAGCCTGTTAGATTGAATGGAAGGAAGGGAGAGACGGATTATTATTATAATCAAAAAGAAATGCTAAATCCACAGAGAGAGAAACTGGGCACAGTCTGCCATATTAAACCTGCAAATGTCTTGTAGAATCATAAAAGTCTGACCCATGTGTTGCCTCTCCACCCCTATTCCATGTTTTTTAGGAACCACTAAAGCCCTGAGGGTCATACAGGGCCTAGGGAATGAGAGAGAACCAGGTTTGATCCAAGAATGGAGGTACCGATTTCTAAATTTTTGGACCAAGGGTGCCTTGATGCGGGTGAAAAAGCTCTTGACCTAAAGAATTGGAGCTTCCATTTCCTTAGTTAAATTGAGTTGAATCAATTCCTTGTAGGTTTAGCACTTTTTTTATTTGATTTGATTAGTTAAGTTAAATGCAATTGCGACACCCTCCGAGCCCCGTGTGGGTGGGGAATGGGGCTAAGCCTGAGGACAGCTAGTCCCAGATGATGATGAGGTACTTGTACCTCCTCCCATGGCAGACATTGGTCTGAGACACTCCCACGACAGGGAGCCAAGGCCAGGCCACCTCTTAGAAAAGACCCGGGATGGGTGATTATACCGGCGAATCTACAAAGAAGAGGACCAATTCCCCAGGTCCATTTTCCTGAATCTTGCAGTTATCTAGGCACATGCTAATGCACATGTATTATTATCATGGGGAGTGCTAAACCTGTAGGGATTATGCAGTGGGAGGGGTGGCATTCAGGCTTAATTTAGGGAACTGGAGGACAGATACAGTTACCTAGATCAAGAACCCCTCACCAGCATCAAGGGACCTCCCTTGAGGGGATCTTGCACATGTAGAAAGGTGTAACATGAACAATAGATTGTCTGAACATTGTTTAAAGTGTATATATTAACAAAATGCAGGACAATTACATAAAATAATGCTTATCAAATAGTTTAATATTTCCTGGTCCAGCATTTAAGCTTACATTACAAGCTACCTACAATGATAGCCCATAGCAAGCTAGGACAACTATAGTGGCATGTAATCTCGATTGGGCAAAGGGATAATCATAGTCTGGCCTAGACTTGGCTGGGAAGGGTACAGGTATAGGTAGTTATAATTAGTCAGAAATTCGACGACTATTCAAGCTTTATGTGAAAGAGTCAAATTTTTTGGTACAGTCATTAAAGTTTAGTTCTTTAATGACATGAATACATGTCAGATTTACCTATTTTTATCAATGTATATGTTAGTTAAAAAGAACATCTTACAATGGCCTCAATAACAATTGCAAAAGCATAAATTCAGTTTTCACAGTAACATGTGCATTTAACTAAATTTTTGCATATTAAACAGTAAATCTAACAAATACAGTAGCAGTAAATATTAGACATGAAAACTGGCTAAGCTAGTATTATCAGTGGACCATGATAATGGAAATAACTAAATGTTCTTTATAACTCGGGCACAACACTCCTCTATCCAAAGAAAACACAAACAATTATCCATTCTTTCTTGCACACACAAAACACAAACACAATGTTCCAGCTCATAACAAAAAATATATAATACGTATATATATATATTTAATGTTTGAGATTGATAATTACAACTGTCAACAGAAAGACTATGGCTGGAATGTACTTATTGCACTTAATAAAAATATACATTTTTTGTAAGCTAGGTGCCAACTGTGACCATAAATAATTTATACATAATACAGTATATTGAAAAAATCGGATTAGACTAGAAATCAATAGGACTGCTCTCATGTACTGTATTAATATTTTTTCCTTAAAATAAGAGTATGTCAAAGAAAATCAGTAACTTTAAGCAAACATTTTCTTTAAAATCTGGATCCATATATATGGCTATAAATGATCAGAAATGACATTTTTGTGGGCATTAAAGAGTTAGCCTGTTCTTTGGCACATGAACTGGGTTACTCAAACAAAAAATCAAACTGCAAACTCAAAAGCAGGCATCAACAGGGAGATTCCAAGATGAGTTTTGTAGTCAAAATACACAACCAGTAAAGAAAAGCAGCAGCAGCTATACAAAGTGTGGCATCATCAATACTGTATTAACACAGTGAAACATGAACAAAGGAAACTACAAGCTACTAAATGCTACTTGGCACACTAAGAGAAATAAATATTATATATACCCAAAGAAATATTTTACAAAGATGTCAAGTGTACTTATGTATATACATTTATATTTACAAAATACAACAGATTAAGACGAAGAATACAATAACTGAGTTTTTTGCCACACTATCAGAAATTATATTAGATCTTTTAATAATTTGATTTACACTTAACGATTACCCAACACAGATGAAATTTATACAGTAGTACAGTATATCTGAACCTTTTCAGTACCTACGATTATAGTAGGCTCTGTGTAATGAATGTTTCAGGGCTTCTGCATATGTCATCTCAAGTTTTCTTAATTTGGCAACTTCTACAGATGGGTAATTAATCTTGGGCATGGCAGGCTTTCCTCTCGAGTCCATGTCTGAATTTTGGTGTTTTTGATTTTCACTTTGGTCATTTTCTTGTTGCACATCTTTATGGGGTTGGTTATTATTGCTACGATCTCTGTGTCTGCGTGATCTGTGATGTTCACAGCGCCCTCTAGAAGAATTGTAAACAATCCTGGTCCTCCCAGCCTCCTCTTCTGACTGCGACTGGAGAATTGGAAATTCGTCTTGTGGTTGCCTCTGATGCAGATCTCTATCCCTTTTATGCTTATGGCCTGGCTGTCCATGATGTGACTGATTCATACTCATGCCTCCATGTGTGTATTGATACTGCCCTTGATATGGTTGTTGTTGATAAGAATCTAGGCGGATGCGATGCTGACGGCGACGGCGCTTTTGCCTGCTAGATGGTCGTGAGCTGTTACCCAAGTCAAGGGAATCGGGCCGAGGTGGTTTGTGGATAATGCGCTGATCCTCAGGAGTAACTTGGCATGCATTCTTTTCCTGCAAACTTGAGTCTTCTTTACATTTGTTCTCAGAGATCTGAGAAGATTCTCTTAGGTTAAATTCTTTAGTAATTGTAATGATCTCCATCTCTTCAATATATTCGACTTGAGAGTCTACAGTGCCCTTAATAGGAGCAGACTTGCATATTTCTGTGGGTGAAGACCTAGTTTCTTCAATTTTCTCTAAAGAAACCTTAGATGATTCAGTATTTACAGAAGTATTGTAGTCATCAGTTTTGGCAGTCTTACTGCTAACATGTACTTTCTCTTCTTGTGCCTGAGGGGTCTTGGAAGGTTGAGCTTGATTGTCTTTTTCATCTACAGTTTTCTTCAAGACTGTAAAAATCTCCTGGAATAATTTTTTATACTCAGGAGCTGCCTGGAATCGCCTATCACATGGATTGATAGGGGAACTAAGATCTAAGCATTTGCCAGATACAGTTGGTGTGGGCGTCAGGTCATCAAAAATTTCACGGTATGGTGTTTCTTCTCCAGTCTGTGTTGCCTTATTACACAGCCTACTTTCTCCATCAGAAAAACCAGACGATGTTGTCTCCACCTCTGAAAACTCTTCTGTGTTACTCTTAGGTCGACCAACAGAAGGCTTAAGGTCACAGGTGCAAGTGTGGCAACGCTGGCACTTGAGTGTGATGGCAGGATCATGCAAAGAATCTGTCATTACCAGACTCATTGGTCCTGATATGTCATCAACCCCTGGATGTACAAGGCCTTCATGGTCAAGACCAGTAGTTTCCTGTGTGGTTTGCTGCTTTTGCTGTTGCTGTTCACGAGCTTCCAGGAGAGCTTCATACTTCTCAATTAAGATGCGGTATGATGTGTCAAGTTCTGACAAGAGGGAGTTGTGCGGAGCGTCACTAGTTTCTGTCCCAGGGGATGTCCCGCAAGATCCAACGTGACTCACTACCTGACCAATTGATGCCAATGATTCCTGAAAAATGTTGATAAATCATAATAAATTGGGTTACAAACAATAATGTATTATTAGTTTACACCATACCACTCGATACACAAATGCACAGACAAAATGTAATACAATGAATAATTTGATGGAACATTTTGCTTGTGAAATTATATTCAAAAACAGTTGCTAAACCCCAATGGGCTATACAGCTTTGTTGCAATTAAAAAACTTAGAAGTTAGCAATGCTAGATGAACCTCAAATGTTTTATGCACAAATGATATCAAATATTATTACCATAATTACTCAAATAATTTTTTATCACTGGTAATCAATTAAATAACTTAAATCTTAGTAAATTAATTTTAAGCTTATTTTATAACCATTATAATCTACTGAAAATACAAACTGCTGATTATTATAGTACAATGTGTTGAAAAATCAATCAGCAGACTTCTAGGATCTTTTACCAAGGAGGCAAAAAAAAAATAGTATACAGTAATATACGTATCTGAAATACATACGACAGGAGGCACTGGTCAATGAAATTTCGAATATCAAACTCAAGCTGAAGGAATCTTACAGGAGACAAGAATCACAAGAAGAACTAAAAGCTATAAAGGAAATTGAAAATACTTCTTCTCTTATGCCAAATCTAAAGGAAAAACAACATCCAGTACTGGGTCCCTGCTTAGGCAGGATGGGACATACACAGATGACAGCCAAGAAATGAGATATTAAAGTCTCAATACAACTCAGTGTTCAGTGAGCCGCTGCCCAGATTAAGGGTCGACAATCCAAATGAATTCTTTATGAACAAAACCCAAAATCTGGACATTTAAAAAATCTCAGATATTATCCTAACTCCACAAGACTGAAAAGTCCCAGGCCCAGGCCCAGACTCATGGAACTCCGTGTTCATCAAAAATTGCAAGAAGCCCCTATCACGTGTCTTCAGCATTCTATGGAGAGGAAGAATGGACACAGGGTTCATCCCACACACACTAAAACAACAGACACAGCCTCACTCCACAAAGGTGGCAGTGAAGCAATTTCAAAGAACTACAGATTGATAGCACTAACATCCCATATCATCAAAATCTTTGAAAGGGTTCTAAGAAGCAAGATTACCAACCACCTAGATACCCATCAATTACACAACCCAGGGCAACATGGGTTTAGAGCAGGTCGCTCCTGCCTGTCCCAGCTACTGGGCCACTATGACAAGGTCCTGGATGCTGTAGAGGATAAATAAGATGTAGTATACACAAACTTTGCAAACGCTTTCGACAGGTGTGACCATGGTGTAATAGCACACAAAATGTGTGAGAAAAGAATAACAGGAAAAGTTGGTAGATGGATCTATAACTTCCTGACAAACAGAACACAAAGAGCAACAGTAAACAGAGTAAAGTCTCAGGCAGCCATGGTGACAAGCTGTTCCACAAGGCACAGTACTTACTCCCATTCTATTCCTCATCCTCATTTTGGACATAGACAGAGATATAAGCCATAGCTCCATGTCTTACTTTGCAGATGACACCCGGATTGCCATGGCAGTGACCTCCATCGAAGACACCGCGAGACTATAAGCGGACATCAACCAAATCTTCAAATGGGCCACTCAAAATAATACGAGGTTCAACAAGGAGAAATTTCAACTACTCAGATATGAAAAACTTGAGGAAATTAAAACTGTATCAAGGTATACAACAAATTCTAACCATACAATAGAGCGAAAAAGAAATGTGAAGGACCTGGCAGTGATAACGTCAAGAGGATCTCGCCTTCAAAGACCACAACAATGTATCTACCTCATCTGCTAGGAAAATGACAGGATAGATAATGAGAAACTTCGAAACTAGGGACGCCATGCCCATGATGATCCTCTCCCTATCGCTTGTTCTCTCTAGGCTGGAATACTGCTGTACACTAATGGCCCCCTTCAAGGCTGGAGACATTGCAGACCTGGAGAGCGTACAAAGAACTTTCACGGCACACATAAGTACGATAAGGCATCTAAATTACTGGGAACGGTTGAAGGTCCCTGATCTGTATTCCCTGGAATGCAGGCAAGAGATACATGATAATATACATTTGGAAGGTCCTGGAGGGATCGGTACCAAACCTGCACACAAAAATCACTCCCTATGAAAGCAAAAGACTCGGCAGGAGATGCAGCATTCCCCCGATGAAAAGCAGGGGCACCACGAGTGTACTGAGAGACAACACTAAGTGTCTGGGCCCCAAGACTGTTCAACTGCCTCCCAGCATACATAAGGGAGATTACCAACAGACCCCTGGCTGTCTTCAAGAAGGTACTGGACAGGCACCTAAAGTCAGCACCTGACCAACCGGGCTGTGGTTCATGCGTCTGTGTGTGCGGCCAGGAGTAACAGCCTGGTTGATCAGACCCTGATATACCATGAGGCCTGGTCTCAGACAGAGCCACAGGGGTGCTGACCCCTGAAACCCTCTCCAGATAATACCTTCCATGATACAGTTTTGAACAGTGTGTTTTGATATACTAATACATTTTATAATTTTTTTTTTTTTAACAAGTCGGCCATCTCCCACCGAGGCAGGGTGACCCAAAAAAGAAAGAAAATCCCCAAAAAGAAAATACTTTCATCATCATTCAACTCTTTCACCACACACACACATTATCACTGTTTTTGCAGAGGTGCTCAGAATACAACAGTTTAGAAGCATATACATAAAAAGATACACAACATATCCCTCCAAACTGCCAATATCCCAAACCCCTCCTTTAAAGTGCAGGCATTGTACTTCCCATTTCCAGGACTCAAGTCCGACTATATGAAAATAACCGGTTTCCCTGAATCCTTTCACTAAATATTACCCCGCTCACACTCCAACAGATCGTCAGGTCCCAAGTACCATTCGTCTCCATTCACTCCTATCTAACATGCTCACGCACGCTTGCTGGAAGCCCAAGCCCCTCGCCCACAAAACCTCCTTTACCCCCTCTCTCCAACCCTTTCGAGGACGACCCCCTACCCCGCCTTCCTTCCCCTACAGATTTATATGCTTTCCATGTCATTCTACTTTGATCCATTCTCTCTAAATGAACAAACCACCTCAACAACCCCTCTTCTGCCCTCTGACTAATACTTTTATTAACTCCACACCTTTTCCTAATTTCCACACTCCGAATTTTCTGCATAATATTTACACCACACATTGCCCTTAAACAGGACATCTCCACTGCCTCCAACCATCTCCTCGCTGCTGCATTTACCACCCAAGCTTCACACCCATATAAGAGTGTTGGTACTACTATACTTTCATACATTCCCTTCTTTGCCTCCATAGATAACGTTTTTTGACTCTACATATACCTCAATGCACCACTCACCTTTTTTCCCTCATCAATTCTATGATTAACCTCATCCTTCATAAATCCATCCGCCGACACGTCAACTCCCAAGTATCTGAAAACATTCACTTCTTCCATACTCCTCCTCCCCAATTTGATATCCAATTTTTCTTTATCTAAATCATTTGATACCCTCATCACCTTAGTCTTCTCTATGTTCACTTTCAACTTTCTACCTTTACACACATTCCCAAACTCATCCATTAACCTTTGCAATTTTTCTTTAGAATCTCCCACAAGCACAGTATCATCAGCAAAAAGTAACTGTGTCAATTCCCATTTTGAATTTGATTCCCCAAAATTTAATCCCACCCCTCTCCCGAACACCCTAGCATTTACTTCCTTTACAACCCCATCTATAAATATATTAAACAACCATGGTGACATTACACATTCCTGTCTAAGACCTACTTTTACCGGGAAGTAGTCTCCCTCTCTTCTACACACCCTAACCTGAGCCTCACTATCCTCATAAAAACTCTTTACAGCATTTAGTAACTTACCACCTATTCCATATACTTGCAACATCTGCCACATTGCTCCCCTATCCACTATCATATGCCTTTTCTAAATCCATAAATGCAATAAAAACTTCCCTACCTTTATCTAAATACTGTTCACATATATGCTTCCATGTAAACACTTGATCTACACATCCCCTACCCACTCTGAAAACTCCTTGCTCATCCGCAATCCTACATTCTGTCTTACCTCTAATTCTTTCAATTATAACCCTACCGTACACTTTTCCTGGTATACTCAATAAACTTATTCCTCTATAATTTTTACAATCTCTTTTGTCCCCTTTCCCTTTATATAAAGGGACTATACATGCTCTCCGCCAATCCCTAGGTACCTTCCCCTCTTTCATACATTTATTAAACAAAAGTACCAACCACTCCAACACTATATCCCCCCTACTTTTAACATTTCTGTCATGATCCCATCAGTTCCAGCTGCTTTACCCCCTTTCATTCTATGTAGTGCCTCGTGTACCTCCCCCACACTTACATTCTGCTCTTCTTCACTCCTAAAAGATGGTATATCTCCCTGACCAGTGCATGAAATTACCGCCTCCCTTTCTTCCTCAACATTTAAAAGTTCCTCAAAATATTCTCGCCATCTACCTAATACCTCCCTCTCCCCATCTACTAACTCCCCTACTCTGTTTTTAACTGACAAATCCATACTTTCCCTAGGCTTTCTTAACTTGTTTAACTCACTCCAAAATTTTTTCTTATTTTCATTAAAATTTCTTGACAGTGCCTCTCCCACTCTATCACCTGCTCTCCTTCTGCACTCTCTCACCACTCTCTTCACCTTTGTTTTACTCTCCATATACAGTGGACCCCCGGTTAACGATATACAGTGGACCCCCGCATAACGATCACCTCCGAATGCGACCAATTATGTAAGTGTATTTATGTAAGTGCGTTTGTACGTGTATGTTTGGGGGTCTGAAATGGACTAATCTACTTCACAATATTCCTTATGGGAACAAATTCGGTCAGTACTGGCACCTGAACATACTTCTGGAGTGAAAAAATATCGTTAACCGGGGGTCCACTGTATTTTCATTCAAGAAGTATGTTCAGGTGCCAGTACTGACCGAATTTGTTCTCATAAGGA